AGTAGGGGCCATCTAAACACCTCATCCTCTCTCCCAGATGCCCGGCTACGTCTATAGCAGGTCCGGCTGTTCCCTGGAAAACTAAATAAATCCATGATGACAAGGTGGGTGATGGAGAGTGGCAGGGGATGAGCAGGATCATTACCCTCATAGCCAAGTTAATCTCCACACTGAGCCTCCTGCTCTCACTCACTCTGCGACATCCCAATCTCTGACATTCCCGGCAGCCAGATGTGCATACAGATGTGCCTCCCAATACCCTAGTTGCTAGGAGGGAACCAACCCTCCTCCTCCCACTCTCCCTCCACCCCAAGATTCCAGAAGGGGATTCTAGTTGAAATCCATTCCGGGTTCAGCTCCTTGTCCCAGTCTTCCCAGCTCCTCCCCAAAGCCCCCAGGCCAGGCTGAGAGAATGAGAGGGAGCATGGCTCAGTCATATAAATCCACACACCACACAGACATCTTCCTTCGTTCCCCTTACACAAATCCACACTCGTACACACGTGCATACACACATAGCCAGTGTGTGTGCCTAATGGCAGACACAAGAACCCAGGGAGCCTTCCTTCCTGGGGACCGCCCCCCCTCTCTCTCCCTCCCCCGCAGGGCTAGAGAGGCAGAAGATGCGACCTTGGTCCTTGGAGGCAGCCAGGTGTGTGTGGTGTCCACACTCGCAAGCACACACAAGCCTGGAGAAGCCTCCGTGGAAACTCACAGAAGCACATCCATTTCCTGAATGAGTGGTTGCTGTGCACCCCGTGTCCTGCCCCTTCACGTGTTAGCTCACTTAATCCGTTCTGCTACCCTTTGGGGTAAACCTTATCATCCCCAATGTGGGTCAGACAGAGAAACAGACCCGAAGGCCCATGGCCAGTAAGAGAAGAATGGGATTCCAACTCTCACCAAGAACACCAACTCATCCCCCTCTTCCTCTCCAGCCTTGCCTGGCCTCGGGGCTCATCTCCCAAAGTGTCTCATCTCATCTGCCTCCCCTGGCCACCTGCAGCTCCCACCGCCATGTGGTCCAGAGGCCCAGAGCTGTGCCCCACACTCTGCTCCCTGACACACTGACCAAGCAGCTGCTGGTGCCCACTGTGTGCCAGGCACTGGCCGGGTTAAGATAATACAGAGACAGCCCAGCCGGCATGGCTCAGTGGTTGAACATCAACCTTCAAACCAGGAGGCCACAATTCAATTCCCGGTCAGGGCACATGCTCAGGTTGCAGACTCAATACCCAGGGTGGGGCACGCAGGAGGCAGCTGATCAATGTGGCTCTCATCAGTGATGTTTCTCTCTCTCTCTCCCTCTCTATTCCTCTCTGTAAAAAATCAATAAACTATTTAAATATATATATATATATTTTTTTTTAAATAGTTTATTGATTTTTTTTTTCAGAGAGAAAGAGAGAGGGATAGAGAGCTAGAAACATGGATGAGAGAAACATCGACCAGCTACCTCCTGCACACCCCGCCACTGGGAATGTGCCTACAACCAAGGTACATGCCCTTGACGGAATCGAACCTGGGACCCTTCAGTCCGCAGACCGACACTCTATCCACTGAGCCAAACCGGTTTTGGCAATAATATATATATTTTTAAAAAGATAATACAGAGTTGGATCCGCCTGACCCCTGCCCTCCTGGAGCCATAAGCACAAGTGGGGTGTGGTGTGCGTGTGTACATATGGTCACAGACACACCTGCCGGCTCACCCTGGCCCTTAAGCCAGAGCTGCTGCCAGGAGACAGGCGGCTCCCTCGGTGCTAATCCCACGTCTCATAAATCCATCGTAGGCCCTCTCCCCTGCTGCCTGTCTGAGAATTAAGGAACCAAGGAGAAGTGGGGAGTCAGCTGCAGAAGGGACAAGGCCTGGCTTCCCCTCTGAGCTGCCGGCCATTTCCTTCTAGGTCTCAGCAGCTGCCTCTGTGATAGGCTAGTGTGGGAACCAATCGCCCAGGTCCCTGCACCCCTTAGGTTGGACTCTGGACTAACAGCCTGTTAGTCCAGAGTCCAACCTAAGGGTGACATGTGTGTCTGGGCACATTGGTGGGTGTCATCCACTCATCACACCAACCCCACAGCAATGGGTCACTTCCTTCCCCTGGGAGGAGCATTGAAGGGGGAACAGAAGGAAGGGGGATGGAGAAGAAGGGGGGAGGAGCGGGGAGGGCTCCCGGGATTGCAGCTGCCTCCCTTTGTGCTCTTCTACCCCAGCCCATCCTGCCCCCACGATGGGGGAGCAGCTCTGGAGACCTGCCCGGTGAAGGAGATCAAGCATGTAAGCGCCACAACCATTTTCCAAATGGGAATTAACTTCTCCCATGGGGCCCCTGCCAGGCTGGTCCCAGAGGAGCTGACTCCGCAACAGTAGCCCCACCACACACACACACACACACACACACACACACACACACACGAGACTCAGGCAGAAATACTGTCATCTACAGAATAAGGATACATCACAGGCACACAGTCCCACCAAGGTGGCTGCTCACACATGGAAACGCAGACAGGACACACTCTATCCCTAAACATTATACAGACCAATACGTACCCACCGCCGGGCACACACATACAGAGACCTAGCACACAGATCTATGATCTGCAGCCACTAGACACACAGTCCGCCAAGACACGTCCACAACCTCCCACACAGAACAGTACGGGGCCGCTTCCCCCTCACCGCTCACTGTGACCCCGCAATCCAAAATATCCAGCTGGAAGCAAACCCAAGCCCCCGAGGTTCACGTAAAACACAACCAGAAACGACATCGCCACGTGCTCGGCAGGCAGGCTGCAGGCCGAGGGCACCCCGGGAAGGAACAAACCCCCTGCACCTCCCACTTTCCCCAACCCACCCCCAGAAGGAAGGAAGCGAAACCAGAGCCCCTGGGATGGCCCATGCACGGGTAAGGGTACCTGCAGACATGGGCGAGGACATGTGAAGACGTGCACGCAGGGGTTTTGCTCAGGGGTAGTGTGGGTACAGCAAACACCCCTTCTCCACATCCCTACTGCTGTCTCCTACTCGTGTGGATGGCAGGCGGAGGCAGGGGCCAGCGCCAGCTTATCAGGGACCCTGCCTAATCACAGTGGTCCGGGCAAGAGGGTGGGGACGGAAGCAGATGGGACCTTTGATTAGCGCCTGCCAAGGGCCACCCAGCCTGGCTGCCGGACTCCTAGAGTCCTCAGCACACCCAAGCTCTCCTCCTGCCCCCAGGCGGAGAGGAAAGGACACGACCCTGGCCTCAGAATGCTCTCCTAAGCCCTTTAGGTTTTCCGCACCTTAAGTCCTTACATCATGCCATTTAGTCCTCCTCTGAGGAGGGTACTATCAGCCTCATGGACAGATGAGAAGACTTGCCTTCACTGTACCATGGCTATCTACTCCAACGCAAGAGCTCTTGGTGGCCATGTGCCTTCCGGGGGCGGGGGGTGGGAGGGGTGGTAGTGATGAGGTCTTGGGGTCCGCACTCCCCTCTGAAGCCTGTGCTCCCAGGCAGCTGGAGGGCAGTGTGCTGTGTCCTAATCCGCTCCGAGGGCCTCTCTGTCCTTTCCAGGCCCGGGGCTTGCCCAAGTCTGACTTCAGTGGAAAATGCCAGTCTGCCTCGGCCCTTCTGCCAACAGGCCCCGCTGAGCCAGTGGGTGCTGAGACGCACCCCTACCCCCACCCCACAGACAGGCAGGGCCAGGCCCAGGTCAGCCCAGTCCGAGGCTCAGGCCAGGGCCCCGGCCACGGGCATTGGCCCTGGCTGGCTCGGGATTATGTGTCTTGCAGAGCCTTCCATCTGTCACTTAGCCCTCTAGGCCCAGGACGAAATTCACTTCCTTTTAGGAGAGCCAATGATTTGCTTTTCCTCGTGTCTCCTTCCCTGACTTTTTCTTTTTAATTAGAAATTACTCTCTCAGAAGTCCAGAGCCTGGGAGGGAAAGCTACCTGGTCTCCAGTCCCAGCCACGGCTGCCCACTCCTTCTTCCTTCCGGGCCTCTGCTGGTTGCTCAGCGCCCACTGGGCTCAGCAGATGGAGGCCGCCCCATCCCCTGATGCCCTGTCTGAGGGGAGGAGGGCTAGAAGGGAGTGTGGCAGGATTCCCCAAGGTCAGTCCTCACTGTCCTGGCACCAGCCAGTTTTACAGGAACCCCGGCTCCTGTGTCCCAATGATGACAAAAAAGTCCCTGCGAAGGCTTCCCCTCCTGAGTGTCACATCAGCCCGTTACTCCCCAGATCATAGCACCTGAGCCAGGTGGACGAGGGGACATGAGCTAGGGAAAGCAGGAGCCCTGTGAACAGGGAGCCCACGGGCATTCCTCCCGTCCACCCCATTCACCTGCTTGCTAGTCTTTTCTGTCTGACCGTGGACATGAACCCCAGGGGTCAGAAGTTCACTGACCCACCCCCCAGCAGAGCACACACTTAGAGAACTGAGGTCAGGCAACATGGGGAGCTGTCACTTGCACACTCATGTGCTTAGGCACCAGCAGGCACAGGTACACACCCAGAGACACCTCTAATGCACACTTATGAGCGAAGCACATATGTACACTCATGCACACGCAAGTGTGCCCACACGTCTCTCCACAGCCCCACCATAGGACTCAGCACTGACCTCCAGGGCCCACATCCCAGGGCCCACAAACAAGTCCTCCCAGGTGTCAAACGGTGCTCTGCCCCAGTCCTGAGAAAGAGGGGTATGGACACCCAGTACCTCCCATCCCACTTGGGGCTTGTCGGCACCCTGGGGCGAGAAGAGGACAAGGAGACTTTGTGGGGAGACTCAGCTGCCTGACTTTCCACCAGTCACCTGGGAAAGCCCCCCTCTTCCTGCTCTTCCCAGCCTCCCTTGCTTTCCTGCAGCCCAGTTCCTGCCCCCCGAAGAAGTCCCCACAAGGAGAGAAGAGGCAGGGGGATGATGACTAAGCTTCCAGCTCCAGTGCCTCTCATACCAGGGGGTCTCCAGCCTGGGGGAGGGCAGATCCCCAGGCATCAGCTGGGGCCTTACCGTGGAGGGTGCTCCGGGTGATCTGTCCCCCCATCACGGGCAGCGGGCAGCACGGCCGCCTCCGCTCGGCTAGCCGGCCTCGTCACCAAGCTGCCCGGGCTGCCGGTGCCTCTCCTGCCACCTCTCCTCCCCTACAGTTGGCGGCAGGCATGGCAGGGCTGAGCCTGCCCCTCCCGCGCCCTCAGGAGCTCCCTCCCGCACGCAGCGCCTGCGAGGCAGCCACACAGGCACATACACCCCTGTGAGCTTCCCCCGCCTCCCGGCGCTGGTACGGCAACAGGATCTGTCATGTTTATTTACATAAGGAGGAGGAGACTGGAGGCTTCCTGAAATAGCCAGCTCCAGAAAGCACTGGAGATGCCCCAGCCTGAGCGCTCACACACACATGCACACTCCCAGTCACACACATCAACACACACACATGCACTCCCCCATCACACACCTCATCTCATACACACACACACATGCACACTCCCTGTCACACACAACACACACGTGCACACTCCCCACCACACACCTCATCTCCCACACACATGCATACACACACGCACGCTCCCCAGCACACATGTAACCTCACATACATGTGTACACACATCCACACACATGCACACTCCCCATTACATACCCCACCACACACTCCCCGTCACACACATGTAAGCACACACATGCACACTCCCCATCAAATGTCATTTCACGCATACTTGCACATACCCACACATATGCCCACTCCTCGTTACATACACATACACATATGCACATTCCCCATTGCATACACATGTGTATGCACACATACGTGCACGCTCCCCATCACACATCTCATCTCTCACACACACATGCACATTCCCCATCACACATCTCATTTCATCTCACACACACACATTCACATACACATGCACACTCCCCATCACGCCTCATCTCTCACACATATGCACATTCCCCAATCCACACTTTATCTCACACACACACACACACAACTTCACCACTTTCCAAGGCCTTCAGCCATTCACATGTGATGATGTACCCACTACAACAGACGTCAGGTGAGGCAATGATATCATGATGAGCAAAACAGACACGGGGCTTACAATCTGGCTAGTGGAGCTTAAAAACAAAAACCTGCCCACTTCTATCTTCTCCCAGGCTCTGTCCCAGCTGCTTTAGGAGTATTAACTACTCTGGTCCCCACGGGCTGAATGATGAGGTCAGTATTATTGTTATTATCAATGTTATTAGTATTAATTTAAAGACAAAAACACCAACATAAAGACGTGACCTACCTAGAAGGTGGCAGTCAGGCACCAGAACCCACACTTTTACCCCCACAGCAAACTGTTGCTTTGATCATAAGCATACAAAAACACACACCAACATATACAGACCACACTACCCATCTACACCACGTCACATGCATACACACAGACACAGGCTCACAAGCACTCACTAGCACTCACACTTGTGCACACTTAGCCTCCTACTGCTCACCAGACACACACACACCCGACACATCCACACCTCACAATGAACACACCCCACCTATGCACATCCCCCCAGATCATGCAGCCTCTGGAGAAATCCTGAGCTGGAAAACTCGGAGCCAGTGAAGGGTGCGGACAGAAAGGGCGGAGGGCAGTGGGAAGGCAGGCCCCTCTACCTCCGGGCAGGCCTACAGGGAGCCCAGGGCGCCACCGAAAGAGGAGCCACAGCGCACTGTGAGCTCACTGGGCACCCGGCACTGTGTGCACGCTCTGCTTTACCACGCCGGTAGCAGAGACTGCTGCTCCAGCCATTTCACAGAAAAGAAACTGGGTGCTCTGTGAGGCTCAGGAACGTGCCTGAGGTTTACCCAGCAGGTCAGAGGCAGGCCCCAAGCCCAGGGCCGTGGACAAGATCACAGTCACAGGCTCTCTGCAGGACAGGGGCTTCTCCCAGGAAAGCAGAACAGCTCCGTTCCCAGGCCCTGGCCAGCCCCCAGTCTCTGTCCTCGGGGTTAGGAATCTGGATTCCAAGGGAAAGAACGGGTGGGCAGAGGGGGGAGAGCTAAGAAGGAGCCGTGGGAAAGACGGGGGCTGCCCCCTATCAGATGGGACTCAGAGGCCTGGACACTGTGAGGGGTTGTGCTGGGCTTTGAGCCCTCTGTGTGGGACCCTGCTGCCGCTCAGGCCTGGTCTGAGAGAGAAGAGGAGAAGGGAGAGGGAAGGGGAAGGGGAGAGGAGGAGACGATCTAGGGTCATCAGCCAGAGGGCTGGGCAGGCTCCAGGTGGGAGCGTCCACAAGCCCAGCATGCTAACTCCCCACCCCCAGACCACCCCCCAGACCTCTCTCTTCCTGGGAAGAGCCAGGACACACAAGGTTCCCCCCCTTTCTATAGTCACATGCTGGCTCATGACTGCTCACAGTCACATGTCCATGCACACACATGCTCCATGATCCTCTTCCTCTGGGGGAGGGAGATTAAGTCAGAATCTGACCGAGAGGAAACAACGCAGACTCCTTTTGTGCGGTAAATAATCACAATAACAGCAAACACCAGGCCTCACCATGTGCAGGCAGTTCTAAGCACACTGCACATATTAACGCGCACAATCCTCACGGTAACCCTAAGAGATGGGTTACATTTTGTGCCCATTCTACAGATGAGGAAGCGGGTGAAAGAGGCTGCTCTGGAGGCTGTTCAATACAGTCAACCCCCCTGACTTCGGATGCCCCAGGCGGGGCCCTTGCCCACCATCCCCTCCAGTGGCCGGCCTGGCCTTCCCGAGGCCCAGCCACTGGTAACACCTCTTCCAGGAAGCCTCCCCAGGGCTCATCTCTCCTCCGAGCCCAAGCTATGCCTCTCCCAACCTCTCATCCTCCTGCACCCTGGCTGTGGCATCGTCCGTTTGCCCTGGTACATCTCAACAATTCAAGTTGGCCAATGTTTCCTGAGCACCCACCATGCGCCGAACACAGAGCTACACGCGGGGGAGGCAATGAGGATCAACAACAGACAGACTCAGAGTCCTGACGGAATAGACGTCTATCAGGTAGAATATCATCCCGATCCTAGGAAAGGGGTCCGAAACAAAAGAGCAAGGTTCCGGGGGGCTCGGGGCAGGCTTTCCTGAGCACTGAGAAGCTAGGCAGGTGCGTGGCCCTGCAGATCGGGTGAGGAAAGAAGACTCCAGGCAGTGAGCACAACACCGGCAAAGGCCCCGGGGACTGCAGGGAGCCCCACGCCTCCGCCTCCGCGAAGCAAGGCCCGAATGGCTGCCGCAGGGAGCGTGGGCGGGTCCTGGGAAATGTTCTGACGGCCCACCGAGGTGGGCGGAGACACCCCAGGTGGGCCTCAAAGAGCGGGGAGAGGAACCTGGCCTTCTTTTCTGAGAGTCATAGGGAACCCCGGACAGGTTTCGGCAGGAAGGGCAACAAGAGCGGACGGCACTTCTGAAAGGTCACCATGCCTTCTGGTGTGCAGCATGCATGCATGGGAGGAGGCAGAAGGCACCAGGGGAGAAAGAAGCGGCCCCCGCAGGGCCGGGTCTGTACTGACTTGCCCACACTCTCCCCAGGCCGAGCGTCATGCCCGCACAGAGCAGGTGCTCAGAAAATACCTCACCGATGGAACTGATAGCACGGAAATTTCCAGAAACAGGACCAGAGGGAAGTAACCAAGCAGGGACGGGGGCAGGGTGAGGCCTCAGCAAACGCAGTCCTCAGGTGGGGGCGGCCTCGCTCTGGCCACGTGAGTGAGGATGGAGTAGAGGATTGGGCGCAGCCCGGGAAGCCCCTGGGCCTTCACCCCACCACTGTCTGCAGGGGTTTACCCGCAGGCTTCCTTAGGTCCTGTTTTCCGCAAGCCACTTCCCCCCATTTAAATAGGAAGTGGCAGTGCTCTGTGTCTGAGGGGTCCCCCCCTCCACTCCCCAGAGCAGTAGCCAGGCCTCTACAGAGGATGTGGCGGCCAGCACTGCTGCACCCCTTCTCTGTTTTTATTGAGGCACCACATAAAAGTTTCATTTGGCCGAAGAATTCTGTTACTGAAAGGGGTGAGAGCACCACGGACCTACATCGTTCATTCATTCGTTCATTCAGCAGTCACTGAGTGCCAACTCTGGCCCTCCTGGTGAGCAAGACCCAACTTCCCACCCTTCAGAAGCCAAGCAGGAGCCGCGCTGAGACGCCTGTGGCTCTGGTTGAATCGTTTCAGTGTTCCGTTCTGTGGGAAGGGAGAATGAAAGGATAGGAAAGGGGATGAGACAGGATGGGAACGGTGTGACAGAGGAACGGAGACTCAATAAGGAAGCCTACAGCAGAAGCTGTAAATGTTGGAACGCTTACGTATGCACCAGGCACGCTGCTAGGTATCTCACACACTAATCTCGCTCAACCCCCCAATATCCCTGCAGGATTATAATCATCCCCACCCTGCGGGTTACAGAACTGGGGCTCAGGGAGATTACAATGAAGGCAAGACCAGCCAGAGTTCAATCCCAGACCTGTCTGGCATTAAAACCCACAGTCTAGACAGAAAAGGTCAAAGGGCAGGGGCCTTCTTGCTTGGGGAAGAGAAGACAAAGGGATGATGGACCTTCCATTTAGGGAATTAGAAGGGTTCTATGGAAAGGCAGAGCCAAGGGACAGAAGGTGACATCCCAGAACGGAGCTTAAGTGAAAGCAGAGGAGGCTGTGGCCAGGCACAAGACTTCATTTCCTGTCCACAAAGAGGTGGCCCGTCCTGGCAATCTCGCAGAAAGCAGACTGTCCTGGAGCTGGGTGGGGACTGTAATACCTCAAAGCCTAGCAGGCAGAAAGCAGGCTGTGCCCCTGGGGAGCACTTGGTCTCAGGCCTCAGAAAGAAACCCCCCTTTCTGGCTAGCCCCCCAGCTGCATCTGCTCCCTGGTCCCATCCAGGGAACTCTGCCCCCTTGGCTCCCTGAACCCATTCAGCTTCCAAGACCCTCCCAGGACCAAGGCTCTCACTTCTTCCTGCCACCCCCCGTCTCCCACCCCCTCTCCTTTTATTTATTTATTTATTTAATATATTTTATTGATTTTTTACAGAGAGGAAGGGAGAGAGATAGAGAGTTAGAAACATCGATGAGAAAGAGTCATCCATCAGCTGTCTCTTGCACACTCCCTACTGGGGATGTGCCCGCAACCAAGGTACATGCCCTTGACCGGAATCAAACCCGGGACCTTTCAGTCCCCAAGCCGACGCTCTATCCATTGAGCCAAACCTGTTTCGGACCATCTTGGTCTCCGTGGTGGGCT